TACAGCAAAGCCCTCCTTCCTGCTCATCCCACCTTGAATCTGCCTTCCCTACCCATCCCCAATCACACTATACCTAGAACATTTTCCAATACAAATCTCACCATATCCCACCACAACCACCATCACTACTACCATCAATTAAAATTCTTCAATAAACCAGACATGGTAGCACACACTTATAATTTCAGCTACTCAGGAGGCTGAGGCAGGAGGATCAAGAGTTCAAAGACAGCCTGAGCAACTAAGAGAGACTCTGGCTCAAAAGAAAAAGGGGTAAGGATGCAGCTCTGTGTAGAACACTTGCTTAGCATGTGTGAGGTCCTAGATTCAATCCCCAGTTCTGGAAAAACAAAACAAAAATAACCTCAATAGCTTGTATTATGAAGATTCAAATGCTTGCAGCTCTGCAACCAATGACCTTTCTGATCTGTGCCCTAGAGCTTTTCCAGCCTTCCCTCAGCCCTGGGCTCTCCCTTCTCCAGCCCTGATCCTTATCCCAGTGCCTTCTGCTCAGCATGCCCAGCCCTCCTTAGGACCTCAGCTCATACTCCGCCCTCCCTTCCTTTCTCTACTTCACTCATCATTCAGATTTCATTCCAGTCATCACCTCGTCAAGAGAGCTTTTCCTGGTGCTGCACACAAGGGCAAATTCTCTCTCATGTTGGCTCTCAAGTCCCAGTGGACTTCTTTACAACACATATCTCAGTTCTATGTGCACATTTATTTAATGATTAATTGACTGATAGGACTACACCTCCAGATGGTAGCTCCATGAGAGCAGGAACCATGTCTGTTTACTCATCATTGTATCCTCAGCATCCAATACCCTGCCTGGTACATATGACCATTCAGTGTTTGTGGAAGGAAATGACATCATCTCCTGATTTGGTGGGAACCTAAGCCTCCCTTTTCTTTAGAGAAACTTTTCAGAGAGACAGAGAGAGACAGAGAGAGAGAGAGAGAGAGAGAGAGAGAGAGAGAGAGAGGAGGAGGAGGAAGGAAGGAAGGAAGGAAGGAAGGAAGACAAACTTTACCTCACCTAAATACAGTGATTCCTCTACCTGGCCCCATGAATTCTCTCATTTCCCATCCTTTACAGTCCTTGCCTTAGTCCTTTTGATGGGAAATGTCTGTACATAATAAACTGGGGGTAATTTCTCTGAAATCTTGGAAATATATTAGTATTATGCTTTTTAGAATAAACTTATCTGTCTTCTGCCTGATGTTCTGGGACCAGGTCACCTCAATAAAGCTCCACCTTGCTGCTCTAATTTCTTTATCCAAATGGAACATTCAAATGATATACCAGTAAGTATCATTTTCCTCATTAAGATAGAAGACATACTCTTGAGCATCTCAATCCAGATGAAGTCTTGGGTGGTCACTTGTACCATGGAGGAGATTTAAAGACAAAGGGCAGAGGAGAGAATTAATGATATTAAGGGTAGAGACTTAAAGGTTTCTAACATGAAGCATTAGGAAATCTGAGGGTGAAAAGGCAAGGTGAGAAAAGCAACAGGACCTCTCAAGCAAAGAAAGGTCAAGGAAAGAGGATATGGAGAGTGAGAAGTCCTTTTCACCCAGTCTTCTCACATCACAGGGACAGGGACCAGTCCTTTGGTCGGAGTAGGGGTAAGGGAGACCTGTGCCCCACATCCCCAGCCAGCACCCCAGCCACTTTCCTGAGGGACAGCCGTCAGCATCTGGTGCTGTGGAAATCCAGCCCAGCCTGTGATGAATGAGCTATTATTGGCACATTCTTGAATTTTATCAAAAGTTTTAAAACAGTGATTACTGACAGGATACACAGAAGTCCAAGAAAAGTACATAAACACTGGGAAATTTATTTATCTGCCTGCTCTGTGACAGCTGGGCCAGCTTCCACATGCCAAACATTTTGGGGCAGGGTCAGATCAAGGCTTCACGTAGTTGCCAGCAGGGAGCTACTATTTTGGAGGCACAGGTCATGGGAAAGGCATACAGCTAATAGTTGGCTTCTATGCCTACCCCCATAACTTCTCTTTAGTCTTATGTATCACAATCAACAGTCCCATCAAATTTGAGGAAGTCCTTTAAAATCTTTGTTTAAAGACCCGAATATGGTGCTGCCACACAAGCCCACAAGATAAATGATCTCACCTTACAAAAGAGATGGCCAGTGAGGTCAACCCACTCCTGCCTCTTGTAGAAGGAACAAAAAGGAAAATGTTTAAATACTCTGTGATGTTCTATTTAAGTATATAGTTTTGATTTCTGATTTGGATTGGTTTCAGTGATTCTATGTCCTATCAAAAGCTGTAGCTGGAAAAAAAAGAAAGAAAGAAAGAAACAGAAAGCCCCACGTCAATGCACTAGAAAATGTAAGTTCAAATTTCCAGAGAACAAAGGCTCAAGTCTCAGACTGTTCATCTGGGAAACTTTTCCTTGCTAAGTGAATGAATGGAAAAGCTTGTGTCATATGGCCAATGGATGTTCATGGAGCTTGATTGTTTCTCATTCATCTTTTATCTATGGGTGGAAAAAGAAATTGATCAAGGGCAAAGAGTGATTTAAGGATTTTTAGGGAATACCAGAAGGCAATCACAGATGAGGATCTAGTGCTGGGACTCTGATTTTCAAACTTTAACCCTTGAGATTGCAATTTTCGTGGCCCAGGAATCTGCATTTTCAGCAAGCATTTCATATAATTACAGAGTAGCCTCAGGAAATGTAACTAAAAATCACAGTAAAAAAAAAAATTGACAAAGGAGTCCAACATGTACTATTACTCTTAAAAGTCCAGGGGTAAAAGGCAAATATCAGGTGAAGTGTATACCCAAGAAAAATTCTGGAAATCATTAGAAACTTGAGTTCCATTCAAACATCAAACAACTCCAAGGTTAGCTTAGCAATGATAGAAAACAGCTGCAAAGTAGCAAGTAAGGCACCAAGTATTGGTTGTAAAGTGAGAGGAAACCTCACTCTAACTGGTTCAAGCAAAAATTGTCAAGAATCTCTATGTCCATGTAAATGGAAGGCAGAGTGGTGGCGCGGCCTCCAAAGGATGCAAGGGCTCAATTTACACTCAAGCTCTCTGTCTTTGCCTCTTGAGCATCGTATTTCCACTGTCTTGTGGAGAAGATATCTTTCTGAGTCTCCATATTTGTTTCCAAGTCTATATATAAGAGAACTCCTTTTTCCTGTTTATTTTTTTAATTCATGATTACCTCAGATAAAGCTACCTTAGGTAACATGATCATTTTTTAAATAGACTCTATGGCAAGGAATTAAAATATACTATTTCTGTGGTCAGGTCACTTTTTCACCTTCAGTCTTAGGGGGAAGGGAAAAGGAAAATCAACTCCCATTTATTGAAAGTATATGGAAAAGTGGGAATTACTATCCTAAGAAAAAAAATCAAGATAACTTTTCAGGAAAAGAGGAAATAGATGTTGGCTAGCAGAAGGTACAGTTGACCATTATATAGGATGAAAAATATTCTTGTTTATGTAATGACATAAAAATGTTACTATCAGTTAATATTCACTTATTTTAATAAGCACGGAGTGCCATATTTATGTATGAACATTATATTATTGAAATATTCTGTTTCATTGTTATAAAAATAGCAGATAATCATTGATTATAATCAGTGGATTAAAATCTGCAAGAGGACAGAATCTGTGTTCATTTTATTTGTCCACACTCCAAAGAGGGATACACAAAGACAATAATAGAATTTCCATTTATTTTTCTTACCAAAATTTTTGTAAGATAAAAGGATGCTTTATCGATATTTAGTATATGGATGTGTGGATTAGCAATAACAGTCTCACTATGCTCTGAAGTCACACCACCATGGTAATGGCAACAAGGGGTCTCAAGAGAGAAGGGTATAAACTCTGCTTGCTAATTTGTTCTTTCTGCTCTTGGCCTCCCTGCCTCTACTCTCCCTTCCTCCCACTGGGCACCATTCAAACTCCACCTGCTGTATTACTTGTCTGGTATAACTCAGGTATAACTTCCTTCATTCGACTAGAGATCTGCCTTTCTGACCCCAGAAAACTGAATGTCAGTAGTGAAATCTACTACTCTTCTCATGATCTTTATCTAGAGCCACATTAATAAGGGACCCATTTTTTAAGTCATCCGACTAAGATTTATGAAACACTATGTGCCAAGCACCAAACCAGAAAGAGGGAGATAAGAAAACTCGTAAGGGAAGAGAACATCTTGTCCTCAAGTAGCTCAGCTAGTCAGGAAAAGAAGTCATGTAACCAGAAATGTGGCTGCCAGGTCCAGAGGGGAGGATGGCACTAACATGGGCTTGCTTCCAAAGGCATTCCCCTTCTGCACTTTTAACTCCTGCTGTTAGACAGGCAGGGCCAGGACTTCCTACCTTTCTAGACTCTAGAGTTCCTGTCAACAAAGCATTGAGCTTAACCCTGCCAAGCCCAAACCAATGTTATCAAGGGCAAAATAGTTTATACATTCAATTTATTTCCTTTGCTATAATATGACCCATAAACCATACCTATTCTATTTCTCTACCTGTATCAACTTTGCCAGAAATTGGAGTTCTGAGAATTTTCTTCTCTTGACTCTCCCAAGGAAGGAAACTTTCCTCCAAATTATATGCTCTCAAACAGCTTTTCACCTCTCTAAGTGTAGGGGACAGGGGAAGGGGACGTTACCAGAACCTCTGCAGTGAGTCCTGGTCTCCTGTGAGCCACGGCAGCACACGGCGAATTACAGGAAAGGTAGAAAAATGAGACCGAGAAGAAGCTGAGCTTTGGGTCTGATCAGTGCTGCT